CCCTTCCGCTCTGGGGGCTGAGAGTGTCTGGCATTTTGTGCTCTGTCTTGCCATGAGAACTCTGGTTTGAAGACAATTTTTTTAACTAGGCTTTTAGCACATCCATTTTGATTTACATTCAAATGAGTCGCAGACATCAATGCAGCATTATATGGGGAGAAAAAGGGAATGAAATGCTTTTAACATGAAAAATATGCTGTTGCATGTAGGCCAACTTTTGTTCTCTTTCAATTTATCTGGGATTTGGGTGAGTTTAAATTCTAGGGCCAATTTCACTGCTGGCATAAGCGAGCACAAGTCCATTAGTGTGATAGCAGTCTCAACGTTTATGTCAACAGTGAACTTAGATCACTGACTTTTTCCCATGTTAGGGCTTGCATGTTTCCTGCAAGATAATATACACATGCGCTGCACATATGCTGCACATATGCACGTAGCAATTCACTGGGGAGGATGTCTGGCTCATTGCTTTTCCACTTTATGTGTAGAAATTGCAATCTGCTTATGAATTTTTTGCTTCTCCTATAGCTAATGTGCCATGCATCTGTAAGGACCAGCCATGCAGAATGCCACGTTGCAAGTAAAATACCTCATAGCAAAGGCAAGCATGAAGAATGCTTTTCTTTCCTCAGTCTGCAGGATTATGCATACATACAAATCAATATGATTAATTCAGAAAGTTTTTTTTTTTCCCCACTCTCTGTTATCATGAAGTTGAACACTGCCTGGAACAGAGGGGTGCATAGAAATACTACCGATGCTTATCATTGGATGAATTGTAATATTTACTCAGCTGCAGACCTAAGATTTGGAGTATGCCATGAGCCCTGCTTGTCTTTTAATGGCTGAAGAATAATAAGGCATCTGCCTTGGAGGTGTCTCCTTCCCTGTGATGCTTCTTGCAGTTTTGGGATGTTGGCTTGGTCATCAAGTGCGAGCGGGATGGGAGTGTTGCGCTTTCCAGTGTCCCCATAGCCCTGGGCTCCTGAACATATGCACGAAGAGCCCGCTGGGCTTTAAGCACGAAGCCAAAAGGTGAGCTCAGATGTAAAGCAAAGGTGGCAGGCACATAGGTAAGAAGTTATGTGAACTAGTAAAAAATTACTGGTCAGCTTGAGTCCAGCTGTCCTCAACATGTGGAGCCTCGTCGGTGCCATGCTCCCGTGGGCACCATAAATTCCTCCCATATTTAAAAGAGAGAATATTTTCTTTTTTTTTTCTTTGTTATTTAGAGATTGAAAGGCTTTTAATATATCCTAACACTGACTAGTCCAAGACGGCTTCTGCTGAGGAAAGTGTGGTGTCCAGGTGCCTTTATTCTCAAATTAAAAGAGCTAAATAGTGGTTGTGATGAGAAATAGAGGGCAAAAGTCTGTGGGATGAGATGGGAGAAGGAGAAAGAAAAGTTGACTTTTCTTTTGCTACCTACATATAAAGCTGAACTCTTCTTGCAAATGCTGTCCCTGTGAATACTTGGAAGTCTGTGTCGAGGCTTCCTGCTGTGCCCGACCCCTTGGGGACGCACTCGCTGTATTGCTTTACATGGTGCAGCAATGCACGGTGAGTTTTACATATATATCACATAGGAGTGTTTACAAAAAAAATTAGCATGTGATTGAGCTGGGAAGCTGCAGAGGGCCCCAACTGTACAAGTTTCCATGCGCTTCAGCCAGAAGATTTATTTCCAATTTGTTATTCATAAGGGAAGAGCGAGAGATTGGGATGGGGTCCTTTGAAGTGGGAAACAAAGTCTTCTATTCAGCCTTCGGCTTAATAGAATACACATGACACGGGCTTGGCATGGCCGCCCGCTTTCATGTGCGGCGCTCGCTGCCGTCTCGCTTTCCGCGGCTGCCGATACTAGCGCGGACGGGCAGTGCCCAGAAAACGTCTCATTATCTCATGCTGCTCCTTAAACCAAGCCTGGTGTAATCAGGTGGGGACCGTTTGTGAGGAGGGGGGAACCAGGCAGATTAAACTGGCAATTACGTTGCTAAGAATTCCCTGTCATGCTCAGAGAGACGTGGAGAAGCAGCCGGGTGATTGCAGCGCTTGGGCAGGCACCTCTGCATAGGGCTCTGCGCGGGGAGCGGCGAAACACGGGCTCCCATCCTCGCACTGGCACTGATCTGCCCCGGGACCTCGGCACGTCGCCCTGGATCCCTCCGGCCCTGCCAGGACAGGGCGCGCGGAGGGAATGCTGCTCCGAGCGGCTGCAGCGTCCAGGGCCCCAGAGCCGGGACCGAGCGGATCTCCAGCAAAGTCGGTGTTTGAGGATGGGTGATAACCATGTGTTTCTGCTCAGGAACAAGGCTCTAGTGTTCACCTGCGTTCTCAAGCCTGCAGTAGCTTCTGTGCTTAAAGACAAAGCCCAGCTTGCTGTAAAGACCTGTCCGTTAGTGGGTCCATTGGCTGCAAGAGAAAACACGTGTGACCTTCAACACGTCAACTTGGCCCGCGGCACGAGTGCGGTTAGGAAGAACGTGGGCCAGGGACTTGCTTGTCCTCTTGGCCCCGTGGCTCTCGTTCCTTTTGGTTCCTCCTCCTCCCGCGCTGCTGCGCTCGTTGCCCTCGTCTCTGCTTCGCATGTTCAGGTCTGGAACTCCGAGTGAATCACCGAAATCAGAGATGGAAAGAAATGCATGAGGTCATCCCAGCCGGTCCCTGCCAAGGCAGGATGATTCCCTGCAGAACGATCTCGAGTGCCTTCTCCAGTCTATTTTTAAATGACTCAAAGGAGAGGGTTTTCCTCTCTTCCCTGGGGAGGCTGGTTCCACAGTCCAATAGACCTCACTGTTGGGGAATTTTCTTCCTGTTCTCCAGCCTCAGTTCTCCTTTTGCCTAATTTATAATTTAATTGAACTGTTCCTAACTCCACCCTTCTAAACAATTTTCCATCCTTGCATGACTCTTGTATTACCTGCTGTCAGTTGGCGGGCTGAGCAGAAGGGGATTCATCGGTTTGCCTTGCTTGGCAAAGGCGCTTTGTGCAGCCAGGAAATCAAGTTCTATCAGCAGCTAGAGTTAGGAGCCCTGTGCCAACAACTAGGAGTGACCTTTTGCTTCTTTGGGCAATGCCATTAAGATAAACCCTCTTGAGACTGCCTAAGGCCAGGCTGGGCTTCTGGCAAAGCCACAGAAGTCTGCATCAATGTTCTAGCTCTCCTGTCAGTCCTCCAGCAGATCCTCCATGGTGGTTTTTGCATAACAAAAATAACTGTGCTGAATCCCAGGCTCTACTTGTAGATGTAGACATACTCGGGAATATTTTTTTAATTAAAAAATACAGTTGCGCTCTCTCTGCCAAGCGGCCCCAGCACTGAGATTTCCAAATATACTCAGTTAGAGTATTCCTAAGCACCTTAAGTTTTAGGAGAGTGGGCTTTGAAAGTGGGGTTTATGCATCGATAGTATTTAGATGCTTTGGAAAATAGCATGCTTTGTCCTATGGGATGTGCGTGTCCTACAGCAGGAGCGACTTACAAGAAAACAGGATGTCCAAAGAGTGTAAGTTATTCCAGGAAAGCAACTTAAGAGTTTGAAGAATTGTGAGTCCTTATTTATTTATTCATGAGATGAAAATCAGTTTTTGCTGCGGGTGACAGCAGAATAGCAACACATGCTGAAAACACCAGGAAAAAGAATGGCTAGCGTTAAAGACACTGAAAGCCCTTTAGTGCTTTAGCAAAGCGGAGCTGCAGCTGTTTAGCTGTGGCAAGATACCAAACATCATTGTGGCTGGCCATTGTTTTTTTGAGCAGTTTGATTTTTAAAACATTCAAGTGAAGTATCAGCACCAGCCAAGTTGGAGCGCGCGGGGCGCAAGGACAGTGCCTTAAATGAGGAGTCAGCAAAAACAGGGAGGCAGGAACCCTCGTGGCCCGCGGGCTGTGGTCAGACTGCAGGTTGGGAGGCCGAGAGCAAGAGCTCAGCCTCGCGCGGGTATCGGGTTGCTTTCAAGAAGATTTTATAGCAGAGAAATAAAACAGCTTTAAAAGTGAGATAGTGCCACGGCTATAAAGTAGAATTATTGATTTCTCTGCGGTAGGGCTCCAAAGGGCCAGAGAAGCCCGTGCCTTTCCACTGAGCGCTGCTCTTAACATAGCAGAATGGAAATCCCTGCTCCAGAGGTCTTCCACGGCTGAGCGTTTGAGGAGGCTGGGAAGGGGGAGTGAAGTGTGGGAGGAGGAGGAGGCGAGAACAAGGTGACCGTGGCCGGCGTAATAAAAAGCCCCATCGTAGCCAGCGAGCCTTGGCGCGGGTTGCTGATCCCGGTCTGCCTCACGGCCCTGCGTGCGACGTGATCCCAGCGCCTGGTTCGAGGCGGCACGGTTGGTGTTAGCGGTTTGAACCGTGCGTGCTGGAGTGACATGACGCGTTCGAGGGCTCGGAGCGCGCTGGGTGGGAGCCGTGGGGAGAAGGGTGTGTGGTCCCGAGTGACGCCGAGTGCCACACAGACCCGCCTGCCCCCGCTGCAACGGCAGGAATAAGGGTAATTCCCTAAGGATGGGGCTTGGGGGGGGGAGGGGCCAAAGGGGCTGGTTTAGGAAGCGTGGAGGGGGGCAGACAGCATTCCCACGTCGTGGAGCCAGGAATCCCTCGTTCTAGACGGGAGCGTTTGGTGCAACGGGGCTGAACTGATGTTTTGCGTGACCCCCTTCCCACCCCTCTAGTGGTCTGCTTTGCACCGGTCTGTCTGCCAAAAAGAAAATAAGTTCGCAAAACATTTGCAAAGTTGCATGGCCACAGGCTTAAATACATACATATGAAATCCCTGAAAGCAATTTGCTTCAAGCTCTCCTCAGTTCCAGACATCTTTCTCACTCCATCTGCTTGTTTGAGTACACAAGTTCCTTGGGAAAAATCGCTTATTACATCACTGAAAAATGCCACAAAAATAGCTTTTCACTTAAGTTCCCATCCTCGGAGCTAACTCACATGGGGATCAGATAGATTCAAACATTTAATAACTTTTTATTTTCCTTTCTCTTTAAACACAGGATCTCTGGTCATGGAAGCAGGGTCACGTGGTGGATTCTTGGCAGTCAGCAGTCTGTGGAGCTTTTGCAGGTGCAAAGGATTATATGTTATACTGAGAAAGACTAAAGAAGAAAGGGAAAAATGTGCAAATCTATTAAGTATAGCAGAACAGCATTCTTTTGTAATTCAAGTTTGTTTAGAAGAAAGCGGATCCAGTTGTTGTTTGGGAGAAGGAAAGTCAGAAAAGGAAAGACAAGTGGGAGAAAAAAAAAATTCAAGCAGGGTGTCTGTTTGAAAGACAACCAATTTGTTTCTGACAAATTTCTGTTATTTAAAAAGCCAGGCCCTGTCAGTCAGGCTTTGCGATTATTTCAAAGTTGATTTGTGAAATGCTCATCCAGGGGAATCTCTGCTTGGGTGCGGGTTTGTGCAGCTGTCTGCTCCGAGCGGCTCCCCGGGGGCTCCAGGCCGTGATTCACCCTTCATGTGACGGCTCTGACAGCCGCGTAGATTAACTGGAGTCAGGAGAGCACCAGCCCCAAGGCAAAAGCCTTCCGCAGCAGAAAAAAAATCAAAATAAACCCCTGAAGAACAGAGGACGAAACATCTGGGCAGTCTCCAGACACTAGAGCAAGGGTAAAGAGTGGCAGGATGCAATGCTGCACTATTTATTACCAAGCAACCCAGAAGTTAATTGAATTCTTCAGGAGGCTTCTTTCTTGATTTTAGCCTACTGTAGATGTTTCAGAAAAGAAAGAACTCAAAAAAAGAATTAGTGACTCATCAGTATAGCTGACAACTTAGAGGGAGGAGACACTCAAATGTCTTAATAGAAAAAGCAGATTAGTACTTCAGAGAGGGATAGCCAGAGCTTTTCCCCAAGGAGCTGAAATACTTTTTAAGATTCCAAATCAGTAACAGAATATGTGGAAAAAAATAAATCCCATTAAAAAAGAAATTATAGCATTTCTAGAAATAGAGATTATCAAAAGCAAAACTTGTTCTTTCATGACTTAAAAAATCAGATCCATTACTTTGTATGTAATTTTTTAAAAATAAGCTCTGTATGGGGAATTGAAGTATTAATAGCAGCAGAATTCCAACAGAGATTAAACTACCGAGGCTTCATTTTGATAGGCGCTGTGAGTACACATGCTAAGAGAGAAATCATTGCTTTAATTGCACACAGTTTAATAGAGCAGGCACACAAGCTGTGAGGAATGGTTTAGGTAGAATTGATTCTATTTTGGGGTGGAGAGGATATATTATATGATCTTTTATAGTCTCATCCAGCCCTATTTTCCAAGTTTATGTAACGGGAAGGCATTTTTGTTCTGCCTAAGATTGAGTCTACTTTTGGATTTTATACTGCCTTAAATGGTGCAAACAAAATCAGAGCGCTTCGATTGAAGCAGAGTGTTCTTTTTTTGTTTTGAAACAAAACAACCCAGACTAAAATTCTTTACAATGGAATCTGCATGTCTGCAGGTGTGATAGGCGATCGTTAATTTAACTGTGATCTTTTTGCAGTCATATTGATACAAATCCTGCGCTCAGGCACGTTCAGAGAGCTGCAAAGGTTATCTGATTTACCCAAGGCCTTGAGGAGCAATTTCCTGAAGTCCAATTAGCGCCTCGATTGGAAAGCTCGCCCAGTGTCTCCCTTTCCTTCTCTGTACATCTTGATTCCGGCTAGTTGTGCCTGGCCTTTTTGAGGGGTGTTGGGCAGTGTCTGCTCACGTGGAAGCAGAAATCCTGCAGAAGGGGCTTCCAGAGGCCCGGCCGCGCGCGGAGCTTGGCCAGGCCTTGGGCTGCCCTTGGCGGCCTGACGTCCCCTGCGCGGTGCTGCTGGGGAGACACTGCGGCCTGCACGGCTCCCGGGGAGCTATTCCCAGAGCACAAATCTTTGGAGAACTGGAGTCTTCCTTGGTAGATCGTGTTATCTTTGGTGATGATATATTCTATATGCTTCCCTCCTTATTTCATCCATTGTGTTTTTGTTTCTGTCATTCTTTCCTTCCCTATTCCTTCCTTCCTAACAGCAATATTTTTAACTTCTTCCATCATTTTGCAGAACCACGCACAAAATCACAGAGGGTTTTAGGTTGGAAGGGACCTCTAGAGATCATAGAGTCCTCTGAGAGCTTCAAAACGCTCAAGACTGAATTATTTTTGGATTGGAACTTTACTCTTCTGTGTCCATTCCCTCCCTCTGCAGATATGTGACAGGCAGGCCCAGTATTGATCTACTCAGGCACTGCATCCATCCTCTTACACTGAAAACATCCAGCACCTTTGCTGAGGGGAGGAGGTGGATAAGTTATTTCCATGTAGATGGAATCCACAGTTAAAAACCAGTAACTGTTTACTTAGAGTTTCAAACAAGGGCAACAAAAACCAAACCACACTCTTCTGTATCCTCTCTCCCTCTCAGCCCCCCCAGTGCCCTGTGAAGAAAATGTGCGTGTACATCAGAATGATTTAAATTCACCACATTATAAACCTTGAAAGGAGAAGGGAATTACCCAGAAAACAGCCTTTAAACACACAGATACTATCAAATGCCACCGTGGTAGCAGTGGGATACAGACAAGATCTTCTCCTGTGTTCTTTGCTTGAATTCAGGACTTTCTAAAAATACATTATGGGTCCTGAGGGGCAGGCCCGTAAGCTGAAGCAAACTGAAAGAGAAGTCTTGTTTGGCCTCCCTGTATGGCACACACATAGATGTGTGTGTCTGTGTGTGCTCATTAGCTCCTAGCAAAACCGTAATTGATTATTTGGCAGAGAGGGAATAGAAAGCAACAATATATTGAATTCCATCCCAAAAGCCTGTGAAATGGCAGTGACTTGAGCCAAAGTGCTCCGAGAGGTCTGACTCTTCCTCGTTGTGTGCAGATGTGTAAAATATATGTATGCAATCTGTAGGCTTTTCATAAAAACAGAGTAGACATGAGCATAAATATCAGTTAGAGATTTGGAATCCTCTCTGTATCATCTGTTAATAATTTAATCCCCGGAGGCTTTGTCCAGCTTTATCATTTCTGGTGTCTTGACTAATGGAGACATTTGGAACAGTCTAGGAGAGAGGAAGATTTCCGAGCAGGCATCCAAGGAGGAACCCAAGGGTAGGTCTCTGCCATATTTTAACCCATATTTTAAGGTTGTGTCTGAGCTCATGTCTGAGCTGTTTGGGTACCAGCCTGGATTTGGGCAGAGGTTTTGGCAGGCTCAAGGCAGACGAGGCCTGTGTGTCCCTGTATTGCAGCCGGGCCAGGAGTGTTTTGGGCTGCATCTGGTGCTTCAGCCTTCTTGGGGCTTGGCCAGTCCAGCTGGTCCATTCTGTCCCTGAACGGTACCGGGGCAGATTGTCCTGGGAGAGGCATCTTGGCAGGTTGCAGGGGTCTTCCTTGGGGCTGGCTCCATGGCAAGGAAATTCTGCCATCGGCTACTGATTAAACTAGTAGGGCAGCAACTGCTTGTCAAAGAACCTGAGTGTCAATTTAACGCAGTTGAAAATTGTCCCTACCAAAGACGCCCTCTTTCTCCCAGAACGTGTGGCCTAACATTAATAATTTATGTTCTGTGGTGACAGAGTCGCAGACAGGGAATGGAGGTGCAAGTCTAGTGAATAATAAAGCACTAACAAGAGCTTTTTGCACATTAACGGAGAAGATTTCCCATCATTTTTTGTTTTGATTTAATTAACTCTGACAAGATTGCATGCTGTGTCTAAAAGCCTCTTTAACTCTACAGCTCTTAATAAATTTTGGAGTCGTTTTCACGATTTCCCTTCGGTGTCTTCTTGGACCATGCTTCTAAATCTAAATAGTTAAACTCACAGGAGGAGAAGTGCTTCATTTCTTGGGACTCTGCTCAGATCTGGAGAGCTGCTTCCCTGGGTGACTTTGCTCTATCACTGTGAGGAGTTATTCCTGCAGTCATAAAGGTGCGGGATAAAATTCTCCTTAAAAGTTAATGTAATATCAATAGCATACAATTTTAAATAAGAACTGATTAAGTGAAGATGTCTGAAAAAGAGCATCTGAGATTCTGGAAGAAAAAAAAAGCAGTAAAAGAGAATACTGTGTGGTTTAGTAGGGTAGCGTTATTCAGTTTTTCAATCTTAATTTGGCATTCAGCCCTAAAAATCTGTCCTGGGGAACCTTCAGATAGTACAGAAAACAGTAATAAAGACAAGCAATGATACAGTTTTATTTATTGTTGTTAATTTTTTTTAGCTTTATCTAAGTAAGCTGATTCAAACCAAAACATTTGAGTAGTCCAATACAAGTTTGTATCTTTTGAAATACGCTTTGCTCTAACCTGCATAAGGCCTCTGTTTGAGAAAGGTATTGGAACAAGCTGGATGTAAAGTCAGATTTGGGAGAAACCCTTGTGTTTTCTGGCCAGAAAGGTTCCCTAAGGCCTTTAGACTGGGTGAGAAAAAGCAAGGTGGTGAGGAAAGAGAAGATGCAGGATGAAGAGGAACTTGCCTTCCTCCCTCCTAGGATCTCATTTGAGGAGTGCTTAAAAGGACCAGTGACGTATTTTGCTATAGCATCAGCAAATTGTGCAGGCAGCCACCTTACTGCTAGAACCTAGGGTAATACATGGTTCTCAAGTGGAGAATTCCACTCTGTTCAGATGTTTCTCCATTTTTATTCAAATATGACAGCTAGAAAGTGTAAAAAATGCCAGTAGTAAACTAGGAGAATATCCAAGTCTTCAAGAATTTTTGTGGTTAGTGCCCAATGAAAGGAAATTGCTCTCACTTTCATCAGGAATCAGTCACTGGGGAAGTATGCACAGATGACATGCGTGAATAGAGTTGCCCATGTAACTTCTTGGGAGGCAGGTAATGGATTTTTAAATACGTTGTGAGGCTCTCTCTTCCCGTTAGAGGAGCTTGTCATTCTACTAGAAGTATCAGCAAGCCAAGAGCTTTCTCCCTGCACGCAAATCCATCGTTATGCCAACCCACAGAGATGGAGTCACCCCTAGGTCCTTCTAGGACAAGGGAAAGAAGGGAGCCTTCTCCAAGAGTGAGTCAGGGCATCTGGGCACAGGCTTTTCTTTATTCAACTCTTCGGAGCAGCCAGAGTGATTAGGGATGTATGGTTGGATGTGGCTGATCCTTCCCTCCCTCCCTGATACTTTGATACCTGGTTTTCCTAGATGTGGAGTTGGGCAGAGTCCAGCTCTTGGAGGAGTCGGCGATGGCAGGATTGGCCTAGATAAGTGGCAGAGCTTTTAAAGCAGATCTGTTGGCCTCCTGTGGATTGGCCAACCCAGAGCACACCCTCCTGTTTTGAATGATTAGACTCTGTTTCATTAATGTGATGAATAGGATCAGTCACATTATGTCAAGTTCCTTTACCTGCTTAAAGCAGGTGGGACTCAACAGCACTTCACAAGCTGTAGCCTGTTCTTGGCTATGTGTGCAATAAAGTCAAGGTGGTCTGTCTAAAATCACCTTCGACATGCGGGTTAAGGATGGAGGAGATTATTTTTCTCAAGCTCATTGTCTTCAGTAAAACATAGTTGTCAATAAGTGCTGGTTTTAAGCTTGTGTTTTTGTCAAGCAAATTCAATCTTGCATTTAATTTAGTCACTATCGTGCTGCTTTTTGTGCTTATGAAGCTGTTTATGGCTGCTGTTGTCACTCTAAATTGATTGAAAGTTTTGTACTTCCCAGTGACAGAAAAAGAAACACTGAAACATTAACAGCAGAAGAGCTTGAAAGATCCAGATATTAGCTGGGAAAAATGAAAACCTAATCAGCCTTGATTAAACCTTTCAGATAAGAATGTTTGGGAACATTGTATCAGAATAAATTGTACTTTTTCTAATCCTTCTATCAGCCAAGATTGAATCTTCTGCCAGTAAGAAACTCCTAGGACTGAATGCCTTAAAAATTTGCCAGGATCCGATAAGGAAAATAAGTTGGTCTTACTAAAGTGTTACTGTCAACTCTCTAGCTGAGTGATGCATTGAGATCTCTGCTTGATACAGGACTAACAGCCATGTGGGTCACTGTTCAATTTTATCATGTTCTGTGAGCAAAGGAAAGGCTTCTATGTCCAAACTTGTAAATCCACTATTTTCCGTGGAGATTATTTTCACTACTCTAAAAATACATCACTAACCAGATCATTCTCTCAAAGCCTTTGGGTCATTTTGTCAAAAACTGGCTGACACTGAAAAGAATTTTGACCTTCAGTGAGGTCCAAGAATGGTCTGGAATTGGGATTTTGTGTTGGCTTCTTGTGTACAACCCGTTTTTCTACATTTTCTTTTTTTTGTGAGGTGTCACTGCTAGAAAGCTTCTGGCAAAGTGAAACCAGTGGGTCAAGCCTGGGCCCTTGGGTGACTCCTCTTCCCTGCATTCTTGTTGGAGATCCAGGAGTAGCATCTTTGCCTTCCTACATGTCCTAAATTGTCATGGATGTTCCTTAATTATCCTTGGGAGTCAAGACAGGGTGCCAGCTGGACCAGCCGCCTTTCTGACAGAAGTCTGGATTTCAGTATTTTAAAGTTATTTTAAAGGCTGAAGGAGGTTGATGCAGGCAAAACACAAGCTAGTGGAGAAGATGAATTTTTTTTTCATTACTTTACTGATTTTAAAAAAAATCTCCCATCCTAAGAGAAGGGAGATCAATTTTTCTGCATTCCATAAAACTTGGAACAGAAGAGCGATTATTTTTAGCATATTCCCTGGGTACTGTGTGGGCCTCAGCTTTTGGAGCCGCTTCTTTCCTCAGTCTAGGAGATACAGGATCTCTACAAGCTTCAGAGAAGAAAAGAAGGGAAGAAACGAGTGACTCGAAACAAATCTCTCTTTCTTGTCTTCCCTTCTTCTTCCCAGATCTTCACTCATTTCTCTGCTGCTCCGACATTTTAACTGTTTCCTTCTTTTCACCTCTTCCAGAATGTGAATGTTTAAAAGAAGGAGAGAAGGTTTAGAGTTAATTTTAAGATGGGGGAAATAAGGCAAAGGGAGAAAAAACAGCCAGCCTAGTCCCTAAGTAGCATGAGAGGCCGTAGCTGTAGCCACAGGGTTAAAATATGGAGAAATAAGCAAATTTATGGGTGAGACGTGCACAGGGACCAGGCTGGGATTTCTGGCTTTCAGTGGGAAAGCCACAGCTGAGCTGGCTGCTCCGAGGGAAGGCAGAGAGCTCCGAGGGTGACGTTTGGGAGCGATTACAGACAATAAAAATGCCTGCGGGCAGAGGATGACACTTGTGGGAGCTCGTGGCCGCAGGCTTGGGACAGTTTCAAGACTTTTGGGCAGCTCCAGGTTGTTGCATTCAGCAAACGAGCCAGTCTCCCTCCTTGGAGATGAGCCCTGTCCTGGACACCGGCTTGTCGTCTTTTCTAGCAATGGAATCCCAGGTCTAACACTCAAAGTGCAAATCCTGTCTATATATGTCCGTATATGTCTTGTGGGCAGGCCTGTAATGCACACACATCATGTGCATAGAGTCTTTCCCTCCTTTCTTTGTATTCCCTTTCCAGTGTTGGTTGGTCAGGCTTTAATTCTCCAAACAGAGCACAGCATGATAAGCTTATTTTTCTTTCTCTGCAAGTAAGCAAGCAGGTTCTCTCTGTCATCCTTGACTTAGATGTTGAAAATGGAACCTGTTACCCTTAAGTTGTAAGGTCTTCTTGTACTTATATATGTACAGAGACAAAGAGCACAAATCTCAACAGGAGGGTTTAAATTTACAGTTAATAGGAAAGAGCAGTTTTTCTGTAAGTTGACACAGAAGAATAAAACACTCTCTGTTACAGACATTTGACAAGAACAGCTATTTTCTGAAGTGAGGAAACAAGCTGTAGGCAGAAATAATGAAGCAATGTTGGCCATAACCATGGGAATTAAAGGCAGGGTTGTGCTCACGTTCAATCAACAATGTCTCACTTGTGTTTGGTGTTTTCATTTGCTCAGGTGGATTTGCAGCTGCCGTCACCACACCTCTAGACGTAGCAAAGACAAGAATTATGTTGGCAAAGGTAAGTTGTGGAGGAGACCAGCACACAAGCAGGTGAATGACGAGCTAATTTCAGAATTTCTGAATGGTCGCAACAGAATGAAATCCAGCACCTATTAGGAAAGACTTCTGCTCTGGTCCTCAAAGACAGGATTAGATGTAAGCAGATACTATGCACAGAACTAATGAAATTGTTGTACTCGTTCCCTTGAAAGGCTTTTCTCGTCCTTTCCCAGAGGAGCTGGCTGGGAAGGGCCTGCACTTGTGCTAGTTTCCAGGCTTCAGGAGTCTCATGTGGTGTCTTTAGGGAAAAATCCTCCGAGGGACAGATGCCTAAAGTTAAAAGTCCCAGCAGTGATTTTTTTCCTCTTGTTTTTGATAATAGCTGAAATTTTGTGTGTCTTTCCCAAGGAGGGCTTGGCACTTGATTTTCTGGCCTAAAATATCAAGTCACAGATATTACAGTGGCAAAGTTCTGCCAACCAGGGCAGAAGGAAAACTGCTTGTAAGAGTATCCATTAGCTTTCTCATCGTTACTCTGCTCACCCAGAGAGGAGCTAGCTGGTCACAGAGAGAAAAGCCTTCAGGTGAATTTTCCTGAGGCTCTTCCCTGCCCTAAAAAGAGCTGTGCTGGTTGCAGGGGTCAGGTACCCCAAGTTTCAAGGTGCAGGTTTTGCCCTATGGCTCCCATCCTTCAGCAGAGGGGTGCTCCTTGATGCCCTGCACCTCCTCGTCT